TTCACAAAATGGGTTCATATTATTACATCCTCAGAACAACCCATCCACAGTTTATGTGCAGAGAAATAGGATTAGTGAGGTAAAGTGATACACCACAAAGGCCATGCGAGGAGAAGTAGCAGAGCGGATTTGAAGGAGTTCATTTCATTTGCGTAACATTTACTGGATATCTGTCATGTGCCATGTGCTATGCTAGGCATTGGGCACATTGAGATGAGCAATCTATTTCCTTTCCAGCATGGATCCCTCTCTTCCGGGACTATAGGATCTTTTTTCTGCCTGAGCTAGGCAGAGGAGGATCTGTACAACACTTGAGTAATTTCAGTTCTACCAGTTTGCCTGAAGATCCAGCTGCCTTCTCATGATTCCTGGGATCTGTAGGCCTGAGACTGTTGAGATCCTGGCCCACTCCTGACAAGGGAGGACACCTTTGTCCCCGAAAGCTGGCTCTACCCTGCAAAATGCACAGGCTTCTCTCCTCTGAAGTAGTTTCTCTTAACATGGCACCATTCCATCTCTCCACTTTGTTCATCACTCTAGATGAAGATCCTTAACTTTGTCAGTACTAATGTTTTGGGCCAGATAATTCTCTGTTGTAATGGCTGTCCCGTGCATTGTAGGGTGTTTAGCAGCATCCCTGGCCTCTTCCCAGTAGATGCCGAGGACATCAACTCCCCTTTCCTCCCTTAAAGTCCAAACAAACAAACAACAACAACAAAAAATGGTTCCAGACATTTCCATAAGGCCTCCAGGGTCTGTGAGGGCCAAAATTGCCTCCAGTTGAGAACTATTGCTCTAGATGTTTCTGGTAATGAGATTGGCTTTTTACTTCAGTGACTCTGCTTTTTCCAACAAGCATGAGTTTCAAATTTAGAGAACTGTTTTGTTTAGTTTTTTTAATTTATTGATTTGAGAGAGGGGGAAGGGAGAGAGACATCGATTTGTTGTTCCACTTATGTATTAACTTGTTGCTTGTTGTATGTGCTCTAACTGGGGATGTGCTCTAACTGGGGATCGAACCCTCAACCTTGGCATATCCTAATGACACTCTAACCAACTGAACTACCTAGCCAGGGCAAATTTAGAGAACTTTGTAAGACCAAAACATTGATCTATTCTACAGAATAAAAATAATGTAGTTTAAAAATTAAGAGTTTCTGCCAATTTAAAAACAATACCTTCTAATTGCTCCTCAAAAGGGCAAATAGTTCATTTTACAACTTGGAAATAGAAGCAGTTTAGATGAGAGTATTTAAAAATAGTGCCAAAGTTTACAATATTTAGCTAACAGTGTTTGTCCTGGAATTAATTAAATGGACAAGAAGTATGAATAGTGTTTTATTAGGCTTGATTCCTATGATGATCTACTTCTTTGAAAGTGGGTTCTATGCCCAGTCATCTGGTTATATCAGTTGGATGCGGTTCAGTTGCTTTGGTCCCATAGAAACCCACCCAGTAAGTTTCATTCTCTGGCACCATACATAGTTATTACAATATTATTGGCTTTATTTCCTATGCTGTACATTACATACCTATAACTACCAACCTGTACTTCTTAATCCCTTCGCCTTTTCACCCAAACCCCTATTCCCCTCTTCTCTGGCAACCATCATTCTGTTCTTTGTATCTATGAATCTGTTTCTGTTTTGTTTGTTCATTTATATAGTTCTTCAGATTCTACATATTAAGAGAAATCATATGGTATTTGTTTTTCTCTCGCTGGCTTATTTCACTGAGCATAATACCCTCTAGGTCATCCATGCTGTCCCAAATGCTAAGATTTCATGCTTTTTTATGTTCTAGTAATATTCCACTGTATATATGTACTTCAGCTTAAAAAAAAATATGTATATATTGATTTTAGAGAGAAAGGAAAAGGGAGAGATAGAAATGTCAACGATGAGAGAGAACCACCGATGGGCTGCCTCCTGCACTGTCCCCACTGGGGATCGAGCCTACAAACCTGGGCATACACCCCCATCTGGAATCTAGTCCGGGATCCTTCTGGAATCTAGTCCGGGATCCTTCAGTCTGCAGGCCCAACGCTCTATCCATTGAGCCAAACTGGCTAGAGCTGTATTACTGCTTTTTTATCTACTAATCTATTAATGGACAGCTTGGCTGTTGTAAGAATACTGCGATGAGCAAAGGGATGCATACATTTTTTCGAATTTGAGTTTCTTCAGATATATACCCAGAAGTAAAATTGCTGAGTCATAAAGCACTTCCATTTTTAATTTTTTTGAGGAACCTCCCTATTGTTTTCCTCAAAACAATACCAGTGCATTAGGGTTCCCTTTCCTTCATATCCTTTCCAACATTTCTTTGTTGATTTATTGATGATAGTCATTCTGATAGTCTATTGGCCATCTGTATGTACTCTTTGGAGATGATTTTATTTTAAAATCATAATCTCTGAGCCATAAATGAAGGAAGGCTGCAGGACTGGACAACCGTGGCCTATGACTTGGAAATATTTGGTTCTACTTTATAGCTAGCACTACATTTTGCTTGCTATATTCTAATGTTTATATACAAATATGCCGTGAACTTTCTGGTATTTTTCTACCAATTTCTTACATATCATTAGATCTCTACAATGCAAGTTCTTCTGAAGGGGATAGATTTAGCAGATGCTATCAAATGAAATAGTCCTTTCTAGATACTGGTGGAATGAAGATACTTCTATGTAATAAATGTTTTGTAAGACATAAGTCATTTTCTTGGTGAAGAAAATATCTCCTTTGATCATAATCTTAAAATCCTGGTGATAGTCCTATATGATATCATTACCATTACTCTAATTAACTGCATATAGGAACTTATAGAAATTAGTGCAAGATAATCTTTCAAGAAGAGTCTCCTTAAGTACTGTTCACAAAAGTAGAAAATATACAGTGACAGGAAGGTTTTAGGTTACCAACACCTTTCTTGACCCAACATCTTTCTTTGAGCTTGTCTCCTATATTTAGAATATGAAGAGAGAATGAAATCCATGGAAAAAAAGGCCTAAGGAGGCACTGGATCTTGTACTTACCAGTGGTTGGACACGAATAGAGAAAAGAATTGATAGATTTTGTAATAAAGCGACAGTTTTATTTTTTTAATTAGAAATATTTAAGCAGAGGGGACCATAGACATTGCAGAGTTGAACTTCTAATACATGTACAGCAGGGATCAGCAAGCTTCCTCTGTAAAGAGCCAGATAGTAAATAGTTTAGGACTTTGTGGGCAGTATGTTCTCTGATGCAACTACTCATCTTTGTATTTGTGGTGTGAAAGAAGACATACACCATATATAAATGAATGAGTGTAGCTGTATTCCAATAAAATTGTATTTATGAACACTGACATTTGGATTTCATACCATTTCCACACCTCACAAAATGTTCTTTTGACACCATCCCTCCTCCCGCTGCAGGTATATAAAACTAAAAATCAAACAAAAGTAAGTAACTGGCTGTTGTTTGCTAACCCCTAAGTCTCAGTTGATGCTACTGCTAGCCAATAAAGAATATAACACGATGGTAGAACAGAATATCTGTCCCATGGCCCACCGTTCCTTCATATCAAGAGGAGTTAAAAATATGAAATTTGCTTTATTTTTGAGGTAATATAAGAACAATAAAGTAGTAATATGAGAGGATGTGTATGTAGTTAAGACTCAGTGGAGTTAGGTTAGTAATATTTTTAGGAATTTTCTAAAAATACAAAAACAAAACACATTAAGTTCAGCAAGGCACAGTTCTTTGAACTGAGAAGTAGAAAGAATGCAGTAGTCTATGAGGATGTCTTCTGAATTTAATGGCAGAGCTCTTTGAAGATTCTAAATCCGTCAGAATCCAGTGGAATTTAGAACCCAGAAACCAAAATAGAGTTTTGTAAGACATTTTTTACAATGACACCTGAGAATGTTCCCACTGTTCCCACAATAAAATAAAATGAAAGGACCTTTAAAGAAACTGGGTATGTTTTATTGGCTCTTGCTGCAACAAATCCCTTAGGTCTATTATTCAGAGACAAGCTTAAGTGAGGAGAGCATTGCTACTTAATTTACTCAACGTTCTTAGGATTTAGTATTGCAAAAATATATGGAAATATTGCAAAATACAAAATGTTTCCAGAATATTGGTCCAGAAATATTGGTTGGGATTTCCCCAAGCCTTATGCAGGCAGCATGGTGAAAATGTTTCTTCCATCTTCTAGAGCAGGCGAAAAAAGTTAACTGCCTTGGAAGGAAATACTCCCAGTCAAAAAAACAGCTAATATAAAGAATAGAGAAATTTTTCTTGAACCAGATAAATCAAATTTAATGTCTAGATGAAAGAAATACAGCTTCAGAAGAGGCAGAATTAATTGTTGGCAATAGCTCAGAAAAAGAAACTTATTGGATGGTATTCTATGCAGCAAAAGTTTTATTTCAATGAGTTCAAATGGAGTTTGTTTTTATATTTTTATATCTTCCTTTTTGAAATGAATTTTATTGTATATGCTTGATATGAAGGAAGACATTAAATTTAGAAAATAATAACTTTTGTCATACTGATTTCCTCACTCCTCACCCTTGTTTATGGATTTTTGTTTACTGCTTTGTAAATGGGAGAAAAAACTTGAGAGATGCTAGATGTCTTAAAGTTAGATAGCTTTATTTAAAACTGATAGTTGGTAATACTGAAAAAATAAAATTAGTTGATAAATTTGTAAATTTATGTTGTTTAATATACCAAAACAAATTGAGGTAATTTCTATAAGCCTTAATAAATAGCTTTCTAATGCTAAACTAACAAAGTGGCCTTAGATATTTTTTAAATACTTTGAGATATAAAAGTTTTAGAATTTTTTAAAATAAACTTTTCCCAATGACTTAACCATGAAATTTACATTTCTGAAGGGCTAATGAAATTAGAGAGACTTTTGATTTGAAAACCAGAAGAACAATTAGTGCTTTGTATTTGACTGGAGCTGATGTCTTCTTTTTGTTTTACTCTTTTTTTTTTCAGTGAAACCAGCAGTGTATGTAGCAGCAGTGACACAGGGCTCTTTACCAACGATGAAGGACGGCAAGGTAATCTTGATCCCAGCTTTAGGAAGATTTTGATAATTATAGAAGTGAGTCACTGAGAATATGGCAGAGCTCTTTGAAGATTCTAAATCCATCTATAGCAGTGGTTCTCAAACTTTAAGGCATGTAAGAGCCACCTGGGGAACTGTTAAAACTGCAAATTTTCAAACTCCTAGAAATCACATAGTTCTAGAGTTGTCCCTTGGAATTTGCATTTTCCATAAGCACCTGGGATGATTTTTATATAGGTAGTTCAGACTTTGAGAATCATTGGTCCAGGGGGATTATAGTGTCAATGATGGGACTTTGGGAAGTTGCATTTTATTAGATAAATTATTCTTATTTTCATATAGGAATAATTTATTTTGATAACCTTATTTATAAACTAGAGACCCGATGCACGAAATTTGTGCAAGGAGCTCAGCCCTCGCAGCTCCAGCTTTGTCCGGAAGGTCGATCAGCTGTCTGGTCTAATTAGCATATTATACTTTTATTACTATAGATCTAATTAGCATATTATGCTTTTATTATTATAGATATCCACAGTGTTCTGAATGAATATATTATAGAAAATATCTTCTTTCTAAAGTTTAGCATAGAACACTGAATAAGGCTAATATATGTTAATTATTTTTACAACCTAAGCAGTCATTTGAAACTTTGTTCTTATCCTGTACACTTCCTTAAGGCCATTCAACTTGTGTGCCAATTAGAATTTCATATAGCTCCCTTGGACTGATTTTCTTACTCTAAATCAGGAATTTGTAGATCTTTAAAGTCCCTTCTAGATCTGAAATCCAATGATTTTTCTCCAAGGGTTAAGTGATTGAAGGACAGAACTACAGTGGCTACATGTCTTGGTTGATACAGATGGGCTCTCTACTAATTGAAGGAATCCTGTGACTGTGAGACTTGGGATCCTGATTTGGAGAGAGAGACCATGGAGGAGGTGGTTTCTCACCCATGCCTCAGAGTAGTTATGGGCATGGATGGACTTGTTAAGCTTCCTACTATATGGAAGTTGTGAGTACATTTCTGTTCCATTCTAATGCTGAAGGAACTAGGTGTCATTTGAGATTGTGTGTGTATATTCCCTGGTAGGTTCTGCCAGGGCCTTTATTCTTTTATCTCATACCAGGAAAGTGTGGTTGTCTGTCCATGAGTGACCTTGTGCATACTATTCAGAATTATTAATATTTGCTCTTTTTCTTTGCTTTTACTGCAATGCTATGAAGTATCATAATGCATCTCTTAAAGGCTATGTTGTGTAATTATACAGAGGTGGAAGAGGGGGTGGACCTATTGCAATAGATTAGGTTTTGGGCCTTTGGAAAAACCTTTCCACTGATAAGAAGTCCTTGGTTTATCATGGAAGATTGTGGCCCCAGCTTTCTTCTTTGTCTCTCCCTCAACTTCACATATTCTGGTGATGTTTTAGATGCTTAAGAGTTCTCAGCACATAGTTATGTTATTTCCTGCTTCCATGTCTGTTTATGTTGGTCTCTGCCTGAAATCTCATCCTTACTTTTTCTTGAATGGCTGCTCATCCACCAAGACACAATTCTCCTTTTGCCTTTCTGGGACATATTTGTGGACTACATCAATGGATTTTCCCGCCTTCATGGGTTTGGCCAAGCTGTGGCATCAGCAGAAGAATGGAGGGGGAGAGGGAGGTGAATGAGATTGGGTGTAATAGTCAAGTTTTTATTATGATAATACTAACAACCCCAGAATTTCAGTGTTTTTTCACATTAACTTTTTACATTGGGACTGGGGTTTAGCTGAGGTTCAATTGATCTGGCTCAGTTGCTCTCCAGGCTTCACATTAGGTTTGTATCTATTCAGTGTATCTTTTTCTGGGTACTAAGCTAAAGAAGCAATGGCTCTATGACTTGTGGACTTCTCATGACAGAGAACACGAATGCCAAGTGACCAAGCTAGGCCATGCATGAATATTTAAAGCTTTTGCTTGAATACATTTGTTAATATTCTACCTAAAGCAAGTCATATGACCAAGCCCAGTGCCTGTGGGTTGAGGAAGTGTGCTCTACCTTAAGGGGAAGGCTCTGTAGAATCCCATGGCAAAAGGCATGGGTGTATTATTTATTCTATTAAAGGGAGGTGGAAGCAATAATGCTGTCTGCTACATTGGAGTATAGCTCTTCCTGGCTCCCTTTCTGTTGCACTGCTGGTTGGCTATGGTTATTTTCCTTTGCAGAAAGCCACCACTCCTGTTGGGCAGCCTTTTCCTATAACCACAGTTTTCTCTGGGCTCTGATAGCCGTTCTTTCCCCTTGCTCCTTTTGCTCTAGTAATGTAAAGACTTCTCACTGTGCTGGCTCCAGGGTGCTTCACCATCCCTTACTGTTTTTTTTTAATACTGACTACACCTTTGTAAGTAGGCGCTTTATTAAAGTCTCAGTTACTCCATTTAAATGTGCATGTGTTTCCTGAAGGGATTATGACTGATACTCTCAGTGTAGGCACCATCTCTTAGAACCCTTCCTCTTTTCTGGTACTTGTTGCTTTCTCACCACTTACCAAATCACATTTTTGTTTATAGATAGATGCTTGTCTTTTTCCATTGAAGTTTTTCAAAGACAGGATTAAACAAAAGTTTTTTGCAACTACAATAGATAGCACATTGCCTGACATTTAGTGAGCTCTTAATAAATAATTATTGGGAAGCCCATTTGACAGGGAAAATTCTCCTTTTCCCCCCTCAAGCAGAATCCTATATAATAAAAACCTAATATCCAAATTGACCAAAATGGCTAAACCACTGGTGGAACGACCAGTTGCTATGCCATGCACTGACCACCAGAGGGCAGACACTCAATACAGGAGCTTCTCCCTGGTGGTCAGTGCTCTCCCACAAAGGGATTGCCGCTCAGCCAGAAGCTGGGCTCACAGTAGGCAAGCACAGTGGTGGTGGCAGAGCCTCTCCTGCTTCCGCTGCAGGCGGTGGTAAGGAGCGAGGGGTCCCAGACTGCAAGAGCCACGGACTGCGAGAGGGATGTCTGACTGCCGGAGACCAGGCCTAAACCCACAGGCGGACATCCCCCGAGGGGTCCTGTATTGCAAGAGAATGCAGGCCGGGCTGAGGGGAAACCCTCCTCCCAGTGCATGAATTTCATGCACCGGGCTTCTAGTCGTACATAGAACCTCAAATTGTAAAACAGCTAAACTTATTTTGGTTAAAGCAGGGCCCTAAAGGATGCTGATCCACTCAGCCTCTACCTTATTCTCGGGCAGCACTCTTGAGGAACTACTGCATCAGGCATCCTAGTGATCGCAGATTGAAGACTATGGGTCTAGATGATCTCACAAGGTTGCTTCCAGTTCAGTGAGTCTCTTTTTTTTTTTTTAAGTATATTTTATTGATTTTTTACAGAGAGGAAGGGAGAAGGATAGAGAGCTAGAAACATTGATGAGCGAATCATCAACCTGCTGCCTCCTGCACAACCCCTACCAGGGATGTGCCTGCAACCAATGTACATGCCCTTGACTGGGATCGAACCTGGGATCTTTCAGTCCGCAGACTGATGCTCTATCCACTGAGACAAACCGGTTTTGGCAAGTCTCTTTTCATGTTATCAAAAATCTTGAGTGAATGCTTGAGAACCAAAAACATGCCATGATAGTTTGCCATTTGTTATCAGAAAACATGATCTAGCTGAGTACACTGTTTTACTAAATGGCCTAAGAAATGCTTATGATTAAGAAAGGAATTAATACGGTGAAATGTAAATAAACTATTATTAACTAGAGGCCTCGTGCATGAAAAATTGTGCACTCAGGGCGAGAAGGGTTCCTCAGCCCTGCCTGCACCCTCTCGCAGTCCAGGAGCCCTCAGGGGATGTAAGACTAATGGCTTAGGCCCGCTCTCCACAGGGAGTGAGCCTAAGCCAGTCTGGCCTCCCTCTGTGGGAGGCAACCAGTGGGCCAAACAGGGGACTGGGCTGGTGAATGGCCAGCCCTGCCCCCCATTGCCCTGCCATTGCTGCCACTGGTGGCCTTCCTCTGCAGGAGGCGACTGGGTGGGCTGATCAGGGGACTGCGCTGGCCAGTTAATGATCATCCCCACGCCCCCCTACCCTACCCCGATCACACCTCCACCACCGCTGATTGCTGCCGCCCCCTCCCTCCTATTGCTGTCCCCACCCTTTGCCTGCTGGCACACGCCTTGGCTGGCCTGGTGCTGCTGCGCACCAGCCCCGACCCCCCTGACCAGTCGTTCCACTGTTTGGTCAATTTGCATATTATGTTTTTATTACATAGGATTTCTAATGTCTGTCTTTAATTCATCTATGTACATTATTTGATGAGGTGCTATAGGGGTTCTCAAATTGTGGTCCCCAGACAAGCTTAGTATCACTAGGGAACTTGTTAGAAATGCAATTTTGGTCCTGCCCAGAGCTGAATCAGAAACTATGTGAATATGACCCAGAAGTCTGTGTTTCAACAATCACTACTTGCCCTCTGATGAACATTAAAGGTTGAGAACCACTGCTTAAGAGAAACAGCTATTGGTGGTGTGTTTTTTTAAGAGAACACTTTGAGTAACTTCTTTAGTGGCAATATCTGCTGCTATTTACAACTATGCAGCTTTCATTTCCCCTTTAGTGATCTCCACAGTGATTTTAGAGTTATCATTATCCTCTGTGTTAGTAGCCCATGAATCTGCTACTTCATGTGATGGGCATCTCCCGAGAAGTTTCCCTGGGATCCCGTATACATTAGAGAATGAATGTATATTATGAACTCCTTAAATGTTCTTGCAATAATTTCCTTCATCCTTGCTATTTTGAAGGGAGTGGGGGGAAAAGGAGTCATAAAGTTATCTATCTTAATCTTTGTTGGCAAGAATAAACTATTGGAAACTGAGAGGCTATTATTGTAGTCAGTAGAAAGATGTTTGAGGCAAAAACCTGGATATATGGATTTAGTCTTGCCTTTGTCATTATTGAAGAGCCTTGGGCAAATGAAATAACTTGACATAAACCTTGGGGAACTATATTATTTGTCTCTGGTTAGTTTTTTTTCCTGATAGCTTGGATTGCTAGTGTCGAGATGATTTTCTGTCCCATTAATGAGGTACCAAGGAAAAAACAAGGTATGGATGTACATTCTTTATTCGCCTATTATGAGAAATTCAGCTATAGCAAGAGATCCCTCAGAAACAACTATAACAATTATATTTTATATAATATACATATATTTTAAATATAGTAATGTTACATGCAGTAAACATTACATTTAAAAAAAAAGGTTTAAAATATAAAGTATTTCCAAAACTGTACTAATAGTATAATATCACAAAAGTTGTAGGAGATATTAAAAATCTGAAATAACAGAATTACTTCTACTATATTCCAAAATGTTTTATTTCTCTGGCTCTATTTTTGTTCATCAGTTAATGTTCATTATATTCCACAAATGAGTGAGATCATGTGATATTTATCTTTCTCTGATTGGCTTATTTTGCTTAGCATAATGCTCTGCAGGTCCATCCATGCTGTTGCAAATGGTAAGAGTGCCTTCTTTTTTACAGCATAGCAGCGTAGTATTTTCCATTGTGTAGATATACCACAGTTTTTTAATCCAGTCATCTGCTGATGGGCACTTAGGCAGTTTCCAAATCTTAGCTATTGTAAATTGTGCTGCTATGAACATAGGGATGCATGTATCCTTTCTGATTGTTGTTTCTATTTCTTGGGATATATTTCTAGAAGTGGGAGTTCCATTTTTAATTTTTTTCTAGAAGTGGGAGTTCATACTGTCTTCCACAGTGGCTGCACCAGTCTGCAGTGCAAGAGGGTTCCTTTTTTTCCATATCCTTGCCAGCACTTGTCATATGTTGATTTGTTGATGATAGCCATTCTGACAGGTGTGAGATGATACCTCGTTGTTTTGAATCTTTTGGATGATTAGTGACTTTGAACATGTTTTCATATGTCTCTTGGCCTTCTGTATGTCCTCTTTTGAAAAGTGTCTATTTAGGTCCTTTGCCCATTTTTTGATTGGATTGTTTATCTTTTGTTAAGTTGTATGAGTTTCCTGCAAATTTTGGAGATTAAACCCTTATCGGAAATAACATTGGCAAATATGTTCTCTCATGCAGTGGGTTTTCTTATTGAGAAACAGATAACTTTGAATTGAGAAACATTTGTGGGCTTTGAATCTCCAAGTTCATTTATGTCCCTGAGAATGGTAGGAGGTAGTTTATTTTTGTGGTAAAGGCTTTGGAGTTAGGCTTTGAGTTCAAATCCTGGCTTCATCATATACCATTTGAACTTGACTTCTTTGGACTTTAGTTGCTTCATTTGTAAGTTGGAGTTAGTATAAGGTTTGAAGGAAATAACATATTTATAGATTTTTAGCATAGGTTATGGTAGGTGTAAAGGCTCAGTAAGTGGCAGCTTTATTTTTGTACTATTAAAAGCATTCCAGTTTGGTATCCCAGTTTTCATTAAAATATGGATCAAGAATAAGGATCAGAATAGTTTTTTGTACTTTGACTTTATTTAAAAGTATTCTTAAACCTATATCACTGAGAAGTTATTCTCCCATTTGATTTTTGACAGAGCATGTTAATATTCCAGCTTATGAAAATGATGTCTTTACTTTAGGGGATGATGAGCAGAGTGATTGGTTCTATGAAGGAGAGTGTGTTCCAGGATTCACTGTCCCTAATCTTCTGCCCAAGTGGACTCCTGATCATTGCTCTGAAGTAGAAAGAATGGATTGTGGACTGGATAAACTCTCAGACTCCACATTCCTTTTACCTTCTCGGCCAGCTCAAAGAGGTGAGTTCTGAGGAGACCAAAGTATACCTCCGCTTTTATGGTTCTCTTTGGGGAGAATCATCCCATGGTATGCATACTCCTTCCTTTAAGCATGTATTAACTATCTGAATTTTGGAGTTAATCCAGAGATTTTTTGTAGAGGATTTAAGCGTGAGTCTTGAAGGTTGAGGTTCTCTTTATTCTTACCTAAGACAATTCTTTATTCTTACCTAAATCAATGTCCTAAAAGAAAGTGGGGCATTTCTTCAGCTTGCTGTTGCCATTTGTGCCAATTTTAGGAAGCAGGAGAGGACTGGAGGAGGAGAGAGAGATAGAAACATCAATGATGAGAGAGAATCATTGATCAGCTGCCTCCTACATGCCCCCTACAGGGGATCGAACTCACAACCTGACATGTGTCCTTGACTGGAATCGAATCCGGGACCTTACAATCCGCAGGCTGACGCTCTATCCACTGAGCCAAACTGGGTAGGGCACAGTAGCACTTTTTGAATGGATGATTTAAAAATATTCTTTAAATTTTAAAAATTCTCTTATTGTGGGCTTTAGCACAAATACACATTCCTTCCCTTTGCTTTTCCTTCAGTGATGATGTAGCAAAGTAGAGTGGAAGGAGCTGGACAGGAAGAAGGAAATGTGATAATACTGTCTGGGAGTGTCTAGCTCTGTGACTGACAGTCACCTCATTTCCCTGAGGTCTTAGGGTCATTTAAGATATTGATCAGTGATTCTCAACATTGAATAAAACGGTTTGAGAGGTTTCTCTTAGCTCTGTAAATTTATGATTGTAGAATTCTCAGTAGTTAATCAATTAGTCAGTTATCAAGTATTTTTTGAACATCTGTTGGTGATCAGAATGTCACTAAGAGCTGTAGACTCCTGTAGCATTTCATGATGAATGTGGTGGTTGAAAGGCCTTTTCAAAGAAATTGGTTCTTGAAAAAGAATCCTCTCTGCCTGAGGAACATTGTTTGCTACCTTAATAATGTTTATCAAACATTTCCATGACTATGTCTAAAAGTTCTTTATGGACTAGTTGAAATACACACAAATAAGCAAGAATCGGAAGAAGGAACTTAAAAAAATGGCCTGTAATCTCATATCCAGAGACAGTGCCATTGATAACATTTATTTGTGTAAAATACATACAGCAGTCAGAAAAATGGGATTAGCTCATACATGCTATTTTTACCATTATTTAATGAATTAGAATGGCTTTAAGTTAATAACTAGCATTTAACTTACAGTTATAAATTATTGTTAATGCCTTATATATTTGTCTAGTTGTTTTTTATTTATTTTTTTAGTTTATTAGTACCTTCCATGTGCTATTTCATTTGGTTTCAAACATCACTATAAGATAGGTCTGAGCAAGCAGATAGCCCTCTTTTACAGATGAGGATGCCTAGGTCAAAGGTAAGTGACATGCCTGAGATCATACTACTTGTTACAGAACATGGAGATAGTAAATCCTTGACAGATAGCCTGGTGATACTAGTTTAAGGGTCAGACTAGTAGATCCTGGGTGAGAGGGACTCTCGTCTACTAGAAGCATGTCATTGCTAATGAATCTTCTACATTCAGTTACTGAGAACTGCCTTTTTTTGTTGTTGTTTTAGGGTACCATTCTCGCTTGAATCGTCTGCCTGGAGCTGCTCGATGTCTCAGAAAGGGGCGAAGGAGGCTTGTTGGGAAGGTGATGGCTCTTACTATTTACAGGCTCAGTGGGAGGATAATATTCCTTTGGGGATTTGTGTACCCTCTTGATAATAAAAGGTGGTCACATTATTACCCTGGAATATTTTGCAAGTTCCTAAAAGTGAACGTTATGTAGGATATGGATGGATAAACACATAAAGGATGAAGTTTAATTCATATAGAACTTCTGACAAAGCAAATACTGTCATTATGACAGAATCTGTTGCCTATAACTCTACAGGCCAGATCTTTCTCTATTCTGGGTTTTTTTTTTTTTTTTTTTTAATTTATATGATTATTATGTAAGTTAAAACACGCTTGATATTTTTATGACTCCTGAATTCATGGGTGCTTCTTTTGTCCTATCTTTAGTCTTTTACTCTAAAATTCATTAAAGAGAAAAACCTTGGAAAGAAATTTTCAAATTTCAAAACCACCTCACTGTCCATGAGGGAGGAATATCTGCTTATTCAGGTCTGCCTTTTCCAGTGATTGTGTCCAGCACTTACTTCATTTAATCCCCCAACAACCTTGAAAAAAGGTGCTATTCCCCTTTAGCAGGTAAAAACTTGGGTTCAAAGATGTTCAGTAATGTCTGATGTTATCCAGGTAGAAGTGGCCGAGTAGAGAGCTGAACCCAGGTCTACTTCTCTTTTTTATTTAAATTTTAAAAAATTTTCACGTTAGCTTTGAGATTGAATATAGGTTAAGATTGGGGCTCATAGAGAAGATGGTGGCGGGCAAAGAGTAAGAAAGAGAGTGGCATTTTAGAGCATTAATTAGTTGGTTTACTTAAGCATTTAGAATGCCTATGTGGCAGGCTCTGTGCCAACTTGGTTATGTATAGTAGTCAGAGCCACAGTCTGGCTTACCTCAGAGAGTTGTTATCTTATAATTTAATCAGTGAATTATTTTTTTGAAGTTTTATTAGTAGTCATTCAAAATGAGGCTAATTTTTATTATATGTATTCATCGATGAGAATCCAGATGAACTTAGATTCTTTTTATCTTTAAATTCAATTTCAAATGTTTAATTAGAAAGACATTTGATTATTGGAAGAACGATGCCTTTTTTTGGGTCGCTCATTTTCCCAACACTAAAAAGCTGCCTGTTATTCTGAGTGATTATTCTTGACAGCTAGCAGGGTATAAGTGAGTACATGGGGATGGAAGGATGCAGGAGGTTGGCAGTGGGAAGCAGAGAGATGGTTTGATTTTTTTCCTCTTTATTGGTTAAGCTTGACAACAGTTTTTCCCTACTGCCTACCTTATTTTGTTTCAGATCCTATAAAAATAAGAGCCTTTCACTTCCATGGAAGTAAATCAGTTCAACTTGAAGGCTTCCTTTAGTTTGCCTGGAAGAAAACTAGAGCCTTTTGGATGTCTCTAAGGATTGCAAATGAATAGAATAATATTTACTTGTTTAATTCATCTTCATCACCTTAAAGGGATATTTGTCATTTCTACCAGAGGTCACTGTTCTGCCTCCCTTCCCCCCCCCCTCATGCCTCTAATTTTTTTCTAAATTGTAATCATAAATAATGAGTTTCATTCACAGCTCCCTGCTAGCGAGCTGCTAATTACGCAAAGTACTGCTTGTAATTTACACAGTAATAAACTGTAAATTTAAACATTATGGCACTTTAAGTTAATAATTTTTTTTTGCTGAAACAATAGCTCATTTTTCACTTATCTTTTCCCTTGGCCCCACTACCATGGCTGTGTCTGTGACCAGGAGGCACAGGTATAGGGATGAAGAGTATGAATACAATATGTGAAACCTTTTCATTTACCTCCACTCCTGCCCAAAATCTGACCTCAAATTGATTTTTCATTAGTCAGTTCTGCTAAAATGTGTATCCTGATATTTAGGCTAATTATGCACATAGATGAAAACAGATAATATTTGTCCAGAAACAAATGCATTTGAGTAGCAGGCTTGACATTCTTGACATGCATGCCTTGTGACTTACACTCATCTTAACACTCATATGTGTGTAACTCTTATTTATACACTGCTGGTGTGCTTCCCCAGGCCCTGTGATAGATACTCATTGTAAATTAGAGGCCCGTTGCATGAAGATTCATGCAATAGGCCTTCCTTCCCTGGCTGCCAGCACCAGTTTTCCTCCGGCACCCGGGACCCAGGCCTTTGCTCTGGCCGCAGCAGAGAAGCCAAGCCTAGAGGCTTCTTTTCTCTGGATGCAGTGGAGAATCCAAGCCCCTTTAGTCTTCAGTCTGCACACCCATGTATGCAAATTAACCTGCCATCTTTGTTGGGCTAATTTGCATACTCTGGTTGGTGGGTACATCCGATGTACAACCAATTTGCATATTTCTCTATTATTAGTGTAGATATGCTCACGTTAAATGAAGGGTGAGTGCCTTCTGCCATTTTCCAGTTTTTTGGAGATGATGAGGTTTTGAATTGCTTGTAGTGTTAGGGTAATATTTCATGTTGCAAACTCAAACCCCAAATTTAGAAAACAATTTATGCAAACTTCTATTTCTTGTTTTAAGAGATGACATTTAACAGACAAAATACAGGTGACAGTTTTTGTAAGTTGCAAAAATTCTTTGCTATGTATATACATTTACTTACCGAAGTAGATATTTAAGTGTTACTAGTGAGGACTCTGTAAATGGATGTTCTGCTGGTCTGTTAAAGATGAGCTGCTGTTGGATTTTTTTTAAAAGTGTTTTTATTTCTATATACTTGAGTATCTCCAGGAGGTATTACTATTATAAAATACTATATATAGTAAACAATGTTTATAACAACTGTGCTGCGCCAGCATGGCCAAGGGTGAACCTGAGGAGGGGCAGTGAAGGCTTGAAGAAAAGACAAGAGAATACAGCTGGGTCTTTTGTGAGGACACAAAAGACCCAGCCTGCAAGCCGATGCTTTATTTTATAGTCTGATTAAAACAAGGGTAGATTAACATATATACAAATGTTCGTTTTGGCGACACTCGCTGCACCTCCCAAAGTCCATTGTCTACTTAGCAAGGAATTGGGGAAGGCTACAAGGTTAGGCTTAATTGTGCTAGGAGAGCTCTGCTTTCGAGGCTGGGACTTGTTTGTGGCCCTGCTACAGGTCAGCTTGACCAGAGAGCCGCTCCCTACAAACAACTTTTTTGAAAGACTAAAGAAAAGTAAGTCTAGGCTAACATGAAATACTTATTTTAAAAACTGATTTTTAGAGAGAGGGGAAGGGAAATGGAGAAAGAGGTTGGTTGCCTCTGCACACACCCCAACTGGGCTGGGGATTGAACCACGGATACTGGTAAATGCCCTGACTGGAAATTGAACTGCAACCCTCCAGTGCATGGGATACTCCAACCAATTGAGCCACACTGGCCTATTGAACATGAAATACTTTTAAGTTAGATTCTCATAAAAAGAAATATACTTGCCGAAACCGGTTTGGCTCAGTGGATAGAACGTCGGTCTGCGGACTGAAAGGTCCCAGGTTTGATTCCAGCCAAGGGCATGTATGTACATTGATTGCAGGCACATCCCCAGTGGGAGGAAGGGGTGCAGGAGGCAGCTGGTCGATGTTTCTAGCTCTCTATCTCTCTCCCTTCCTCTCAGTAAAAAATCAATAAAATATATTTTTTAAAAAGAAATATATTTGCTGTTAGGTTTTAAGATTGGCATTTGAATACATGTGCCTTTGAAGTTGCTGGCACATTTATGGGAAAGTGTGAGCTTGATGACAGGTTTGCTTTATATATTTGTTTCTGTGGCTAGATGACACTTGTCTTTCTTGTCTTTTCAGGAGACCAGCATAAGTACTTTGGGTACTGAGCGGATAGGCCACATCATTAGTGACTCCCGGCAGAAAGAGTAAGTGCTTATGAATTTACTGGATATTCCAATCTGTTTCTGGGAGAAGGAAGAAGTGGAAAGTTTTATAAAAGAACCTAGAAATCTAACTTCAGAGCTGAAAGAGGAGATCTTTTTTTTTTTTTTTACTATATTTTTATTTATTTCAGAGAGTAATGGAGAGGGGGAGAGAGAAACAGCAATGAAGAGAGAGAATCATTGACCAGCTGCCTCCTGCACGCCCCCTTTTAGGGATCGAACCCACAACCCAGACCTGGAACCCCAACCTGGAACCCTTCAGTTCACAGGTCAACGCTCTATCCACTGAGCCAAACCAGCTAGGGCCTGAAAGAGGAGATCTTAATAGTCAATATGGGTAATGCTCTAAACCTATGAGAGTTACTCTTTTTTTCCTTTCTAGACTAGTTTTTATTTCTTTGCTTTTTTGTATCTATAGGTGCTGCATTTTAAAAATAGCCTCCAGTGAAGATACTACATTTTAAACTAATTTTTCTGTCTCTTAAACTTGTTTCTGTTCAAAATGGGTGATTGCTTCTACATTTGCTTATATTCCCTTCTCATTTTTAGACCTCTATATAGAGAAATTTTTTTTTTTTTTTTGTCCTAACTACTTGATAAATACAACTAAAAAGCCCATGTGTAGCTATGGAAAACTTATTCCATCCCTTCTTGTGACAGCCTGGCCCTCTAACATGATTGGCTCTTTGATGTCTCCTGAACAGGTCATGGTCAGGACTCGGTTATGATCTATACCTATCTAGCCTGGGTGAACTTTTAATGTACAAAATAGACAAAATGTGCATGTAGTTTATGCCCTTGTTGAATTGGAGACCCTGTTGTCACTGCACAGCTGAGAGCATTGTTTTCACAGTCTAATCAGAGGTTTCTTTGTAGAGTGTGCAGTATTTTACATTCCATTACAAGGCTTTTTCCTTTGAAGAGTTATTTTCTGCAAAAAGTTCAAACACATTAACATCTCTATTCTTTTTTTTTTTTTTTAATATATATTTTATTGATTTTTTGACAGAGAGAAAGGGAGAAGGATAGAGAATTAGAAACATCGCTGAAAGAGAGAAACATCAATCAGCTGCCTCCTGCACACTCTCCACTGGGTATATGCCCACAACCAAGGTACATGCCCTTGACCGGAATCAAACCTGGAACCCTTGAGTCTGCAGTCCAGTGCTTTATCCACTGAGCCAAACTGGTTAGGGCACATCTCTTTTCTTTTTTCCTCAAATTCATTCTTTTCCCATTTCTGTCTTCTCTTCATTATGCCAACATCCTTTTATTTTCTCCCTCGCTCTGTAATTTTCCTACCACTTTTTTTATGTTTTCTTCACTGTTATTTTCTCCCTCTCTCTAGTGTCTGGTTACCTTCAGTTGGGAAAAGGGAACGAAATCAGGTAAGATCTTTTCTTTGTTGTTTCTATTTTACACTTAATTTTCTTTTCTTTAGAAAGAATAAAGTGTTGGCTTCTGATTTTCCTTCTCTTTCTGCTTGTGCACATGAGGTAAGGTTCCCCTATGTTGTTCTCATTTTTTTTGGAGGACTGTTGCCCAAGAATAGGTACTCACTGATAAGACCTGTAGCTACTTGTTAAGTTCAGTTGTAATCTTTAGTTTATTACTTGTAACACATATTTCATAGGAATCCCATTTTTATTTTAGTTCAAAACTTTGCAGTAAAAAATCAGAATGAACCTCATCTGCTTATTGTTTAGTTAAGCAGTAGACTCTTATGCTGAGAAGCCTACACATATTAAACAGAAGAAGGTAGAGCTGCTTTGGGTGAAATGAGGTTGAGGACTTAGAGCCTTGCCCTCTTAGTCTTGTCCCTAGCTACCCACTGAGGGAAGCCCTTGGCACATCTAGCTCTTTGTTTTAGGGATCATAATTTAAAAACTATTGATAGTTTCTTTATGTTTGAATCTTTTATTTTGGAAGAGAGGTTGCTTTATCTTGGTGATTAGTTATAAAATAATGTAATCATTATATCAAACTTGTTATTTCATAGAACTAGAGTAAAGACAATGCTGAATAATAATAATAAAAAATATTAAAAAGTGCAGGTGATGACCAAGTATGGAAAAAGTCATTAAGGTCGTATGTGAAAGACTTTAGTTTGGGGAACTCCAAGCTAGAATGCTCATCCTGGTTGCATCAGAGGATCTAAAAGCAGACGGGATCTTTGGGGATGTATTATTTACAGATGAGGTTTAATCTGTTTGTCCCAAGTCATAGAGCTCATAGAATCATGACTGAAACCTCTGACACAGAGAACAGTTCCATAGTTTGTATTCTCTTAAGTTCTTTTGTAATGACCATTTGGAGTTCTTTCAGTCTTTAGTTCTGAAATTTTGGGGAGGTTTATTTATTGTGGAAAAAGTCCAAAGAAAGTAGAAAAGATAAAGGTACTTTTGTGTGTAGTGTCCCATTCGATCCTTGCAACAACTTTTTGAGGTCCATAATAGATGATAAACTGAAATCCTATGTAATAAAAGCCTAATAAGCAAGTTGACTAAACGGCAGAACGACCGGTCGCTATGATGTTCACTGACCACCAGGGGGCAGATACTCAGTGTAGGATCTGCCGCCATTCACAGAGACCAGTAGCAGTGGCAGGGGGCCGGGCTGGCGAGTTGGCAACACCAGGCCAGCCAAGGCAGGTGTCAGTAGGGGCTCCCTGATTGCCCTGCTAGTCACCCCGCAGATCGGCCCTGATCGCTGGCCAGACCTAGGGACCCTACCTGTGCATGAATTTTATGCACTGGGCCCCCTGGTTACTTTATAAACTGTGAAAGCAATGTTTCATTCAACCCTCATAAAAGTCCTTTACAATAGGTAAGACAGAAAGCAGTACCTTTCATTTCCCAGGTGAGGATAGTAAAGCTTAAAGCGATTATGTAGTTTTTAATACATGACAGTTCAGTTGGTAGACTGGAACTAAACATTCATTATTCTAATTCTTAATGTAGTTCTGTTTACACTATGATGCTGGTATGTGCTAACCAGTTATTCACTAGAAACATTTGCTAGGATAAGGAAATGAAAAGGTAATTTTATGTTAGTTTTCTTAGCCCCAAGGGGTGATAATCAACAGATGTAAGTTTCCATTATGTCAGTTATAAAGTATAGTCGACCCTTGAACAACATTCATTTGAACTGTGCAGGTTGTCTTATACACACATTAAAAATATACTGAAATATATTTTCTTTTCTTTATGATTTTCTGAGTAACATTTTCTTTTTCTTAGCCTTCTTATAGGAATATAGTGTATAATACACATAGCATATAAACTATATGTTAACAGACTGTTTATGTTATCAGCAAGTCTTCTGGTCAACAGTAGGCTGTTAGTAGTTAAATTTTTAGGAAGTCAGAAGTTATACGTGAGTATTCAAGGGTCCACTGTACTGTCCTCTGCTATTTAAGTAATTATTGCTTATTAGAAGTTTTTGAAAAAGAATAGTTTTTGGGGGTGGTAGATGAGGTGTGCTAGGGTACATATACTGTTGGATGTTCAAAACCTTACTTAAGGGTGTCTGTGGGACAGCAAAGGAGTTGAATGGTAAAAGCGAAAAAGTAATCAAATGTCAGATTACTCTTTCTAATTCTGTCTGTTTCATAAATGCTTTACTAAAATAATTTTATTTATTATTGCAGTTTAATCCCCTCTCTCCGCTTTACTCCCTGGATGTTCTCGCTGACGCTTCTCACCGACGGTGTTCACCTGCACACTGCTCTGCCAGGTAATTGTCTTCTTGTGATTGTTTCTACCAGACAATGCCATTTTTCTTTTTACAATACCTTTTAAATTATAAAATGTGTTTGTGTATAGTGTTTTTACAACAACCTTTTGAGGTCAATCAATGTTTTCAGATGCAGAAACTGAGGCATAGTAGCAAGGTATTTCTCTATGGTCATGTGACTAGTATGTGATTTAAGTTTCAACTTTGACCTAGTTTTCTGGCTCATATTTCATATTTCTTCTACAAGCCCCATCTTCAGAGACATTATTAATGATCCTTGCCATTACCTGCAAAATTATGCATAATCTGACTTCTGCCTGTATGTCCAAACCTCTTTCATAAACTTCTTTCATCTCCACTGGGGGAGGGATCCAGCTGCACCAGAGAGCTCCATTTTGTTTTTCAAAAGTAGCAACCCTTTCCTGCCTCTGAACCTTCACATGTGCTCTCTTTACTTGGACTACGGTCTTATAGCAGTTCCCAGGATTGGCTTTTTCTCATTTCAGCTCCTCAGGGAGGACCTCTCAGACCATCTTGTTTTAAGGGGCCACCTCTACCACTCACTTATTATCTGTTTCTTTTCTTTTCTTTTTTTTTTTTTTTTTGAGCTTTAATATTGTCTAAAATGACTTTGTTTATTGGGCTCCCCCCCCCCCCCCCAACTACACTGTAAACTTCAAAGTGCAGGGACCTTGTCTTGTTCTCTGATATATCCCCAGCATCTATCACTGAGTCTAGCACTTACTAGGCATTTAGTATACATTTGTCAGAATGAATCCTGAGCCCACATAGCAGAAATGAATTTAGCGCCTCTCAATATAAATTCTCTTAAGTTGTGTGACATGGAAAGTAAATATGGTTTTTATTATAGCATCTGCCAGCAGGACTATTGTGTACAAAAGAGCAGTTAATAAGCAGAACCAAAGGACTTTTTCTGTTTATAGTAGTACAGTGAATTTCTTTCCATGGTTCTGATGATTTTTCCCCTAATATGTTCTTAAACGGATGTGTTTAGAGTGAATAAAGAAGTTATTCTTTCATGGATATGAGTAGAACTTCCACTGTGGACTATAACAAACTCTATATCATAAACTGCTGCCAGGCCTTCTAGGAGAAGTAGTATTTAAATGGGGAAAGTCTTTTGAAAAGAGAGACCATCACAAATGTGTTACTAGGAAAGTGGAAAATTGTGGGATGTTGATAAACTACTATATGGCCTTTTCTTCAGTAGACTGCAATTTATTCATCATTCATTCATTCATTCATTCATTCAACATTTGCTGACACCCTACTACGTGGCAGGGTCTTTGTTGAGGTAATACCTTAAGGAGCTCCTATTGTCGTGGGAAAGTCAGGTGTGGAAATTGACAGTTGCAATATGGAGTAATAAGTGCATAAAGGTTTGCACGACATTGGTATGAAGCACAGAGGAGGGGCTTCTAACTTAGAGGCTCAGGGAGGTTTTCTTAGAGGAGGTGTGTGCAAGCTATCTTGGAGACACAAAATTTCAATCCCTAAGTAAGCAAGGGATTTGTCTTAATACCAAATGAAATAATGGCCTTGTATACTTTTTTGGTAAGACTATAAGAAGCACTGCATCATGTCAGATGCTGAAAGTGGATTATTAGCCTTCTTTCCTTTACCTTTGCTACCTCGAGCTGTGCTGTGCTCAATATCCATGCTTTTATCAGGCTTGCTGTTGCCTTTAAAACTTTATCCCCTTGGAGTGAGTGTCTTTATGTTTTTCATTATCCATATCATTATTTTCATTCTCTTGCTGGCAGTGCTTGTAGCTAGATTTGGAAGTATAACGAAGTCTTGGTTTGCTTTTGGGGCACTCAGCTCCAGGGAAATGTTGCTTATTGCTCTCGACCCTGCCTAAAAGCAAGGGGAGAGAATATGGACAATTACAGCTCATAGCTTGTCCTTCTAGACATCATTTCTAGGGTAGTGGATACAAAGTAAGTTCTTTGGGAGAAGGGGAAGGCAAAGTGTTTAAATTTACATTTATTTATTTTCTTATCCTTAATTCTTTTTATTAAATCGTTCATATGTAGTCTAGCGGCACATAATTGTTCTCTTACAGCTATTTCTTCCATGCAGTGTCATATATTACATATGTATGGTGGGTTCGTTCAAACTTTTTACTAATGAGGTGCACTAAAGTTTGGTGACCACTAATCTATGGGAATGATCAGCACAGGTGATCTATATGCAGTGTTTAGAAACTGTGGCTGGTGAGACACTGAGCTCCTGGGGCTCCCTCTCCTTCCTTTGGAATAGTGGGGTTCCTGCCTGGCAAGGGCTCATAGAGAAGAAGCAGTCTAGTTTCATGTGACTGAAGGATGAGATTGGGTTCAGAACTGGATGGTGGGATTTGTGAAAAGTGGACGACTTAACAAAGCTTGTCACCTAGAAAGGGGAATGTTAAAAGAGTGGTGGTAGGGAAGAGGCAGGTGAATGACGGGATAGAAAACTGTTTCTAATGGAAATTTTATCTTTTTCTTGTTTCATTTTATCTGTAGTAGGAAAAATTTCTTTCAAAGCATCTGGGCAGCCCTGGGAATTTCACACCCATCATTAGAACGATTTGTGTGTGTGTGTGGTGACTATGTTATCATTAGTGGTATAATTTTATTTGGCGGAGAGAGAAGTGTTTCCTGTTTTATCACAGCTTTCCCTGAGGAGGGCTGGTGTATTAATTTGCTGTATTGCCTCCTGGCTGTTCCCAGGCTGTTTTTCCTCTTCATCATGGAATTTTTAATGGCCCTAGTGCCTCTCGGGAAGCATGTGAGGAAGAGTTCCTCAGGGAGTGCTTTTCTTCTTTCACATGCCTATAATTACTCTCCTTTAAGAGCACAAAGAGTTTGATAACCATGCCTGAACTGTGAAGGTTTCCTCCGTCGGGTTATTGAGCTGAGGCTCTTTCCTGCCTGGACGTGGCCAATTCCACAGTCCTCCACACTCTACTGCATGAGAGTGAGGAGCCTTTACCCACCTCCTCACTGCCGCACCCTAAGACAGCTCTGGTTTTCAGCAGGAGGCCTGGAGGCCGCTTGGGGGCTATGAGTGACTTTCTTGTTTAGTATTTCATTGCTATAAACAAAGAAATAATGAGACCGAGATTTTTAAGAGGTCATTTTATTGATGTTTCATTTTAATACTGCCCAGATGGCAGGCACAATGGATGGGGGAGAGAGTCTTTGTGGTGGTTGTGCCACCTTATAGATTTGTGGGATAAGAGGTTTTCAGAAATACCACTTTAGGAATACTTAATTTGGTGGTTTTCAAACCTGGCTGCACTTTTGAATCACCTGAGAAGCTTTAAAAACAAAATATCCATGCTGGGTCCCTCCTCCCATGATTATGACTTAATTGGCCTGGGATGAGTCCCAGGCACTGGCATTATTTTAAAGCCCCCTGTGACTCTGATATACTGCCAGGGTTAAGAACTATTGCCCTAGATGCATATGGTTTTATGAGTGGTGCTTTGTAATTTGCTTAACGGGAAATCTCATAATTGGCATGAGCTCTGTGCTTTGATATTGTGAGCATGATTTTTTGTGGGAGGTAGAACATGGGACATCTCTTAGCTTTGGAGAACTGCTGTCAGTGAGAAGAGTGTTAGTTAGGGATTAGCTCAGTGCTTTGCACGCAGTGATTAATATGTGGGAGGAGTTGCTGGGTGGGGGTATGGATGAAATTCTTAAACCAGATGTTTAGGTTTGGTTATTTAGGTTGCTAGTATTGGACTGATACTATTAAAATAGTTTATACTTGGTGCTGGTGTTAAGAATTGCTGCTGCTCCAGCAGATGGTGTGATTGGTGTTCTGGTAGAGGCAGTGGTATTGCTGTCAGGAACTCAGAGAATGGTAATAAGGAGCTAGTGCTGTAGGCAGCTTTTCCCAAAATGAGAGTTATTGATTATCCAGGATAGCTTTTTTACCATTATTGCCTTAGAAAACCCAAACTGGAGCTTACCAGCTGCTATATCTCTCTGCATGATGCACAGGTCACCAGTTACAGTTTTTGAATATCACATGGCAGCTGTGGGTTTTGTTTTCCTTGCTTTTGGGTAGTGTTTTGGTAATACATCACCATTTCCATTTATTTCTTGTGAAGTTCTCAGTCTCATATTAGTGGATACTAGACCCAGGTAAGACTCTTGGCTTTACCTGGGCAAATGACTTGACCTCACCATACCTCAATTTCCTCATCTGTAAAATAGAATATCAATATTTGTTGGTCTAGTGATGATCAAAATGAAATGTATATTTGAATATTTCATATACTAGTAGCTAATATTATTTTTGTTATATAGTTACTACCCTACCTTGTCCTTAGGATAATTATAGTTTTACAAACTGAGTTGGCTTCCAGAAGCTGTTCACTAATGAGATGTGTACAGATTCTTGAGGTGCTTAAATGGCCTCAAATGGACTATAAGAGGAGGCATTTGGACTGTATATGGGTATAAAAGAGAGACCTTCCTGCCCATTAGAGATTTGAAATATGATAGGCTGTGCTCATTGTAATTCATTTTATCTGTTCACAAACGTTATGATCTGCATATCAGAGTTGTGTGCCCAGCTGGCTGTACCATTTGACAAGGAGTTTCAAAGAGCAAGAAGAAGACTCAATTCATGCTATTATTTCTGACCTTTGGAGCTGTAGTAAACAGCCCCAGGTTTTACCTCGGGGCTTGGGGGAAAGAACCTTTTGTTAGTCCTCTGTCTGTTGGGGATGCTGTGATGCCCAGCAGCTCTTGCTCACCTCTTTAGTGCCTCAGTTTTGGCCGTGTGAGAAGTGTTTCTGCTGTAAAATTGTCCATAATGCTGCTAGTTCTACTGGCATTTCCCATTATATAGTACACAGTTCTGGAGTCTTTGTCCTCTGTTGGAGGGTCTTGTTTATAGCAGCTCTCAGCCAGCTGGCATCTTCCTGCATAACTGGAGTGATGAAAGCATTTTTCTCTCTGCTTTGCCATTGTACTAAACCC